ACTTGGCTTTCGAATTGATGATTGCAGTACCAGTCGTCTCACATTTTTTTCGTTCTGGGTGTTTTACACTTAGCGTAAAAAGATGATTATATTATTATGTTTAGGAAATCATTAGATTTTTCTGGAATTTCCCAGACGCTACTTATGACACATAAGGGAAATGGGTGGTAAATTCTCTTACATCACACTATCATAGTCATAGTCATAGTCATTTATTCCATAGAACAATATTACATTGTATTGGAAATTTATTACATGAATAAAGAACAACATTTACATGCGGCTATTTTAATTAAAACTAGAATCGATATAATTAAACATCATTTAACAAACTAATTAAATACTTTTCATATCATAATATATTATAAATTATACAGTACATAAACAATAAAAATTAACATTCATTAAGTTTATTTTTGTCATTTAGGTAATCGTCAACTCAGAAGTAGCTTTTTTTAATTAATAATGATTTTAATTTATTTTGAAATTTGTGGTAGCAATAAATAGTTTTAAATGAGGTAGGCAAAGAATTAAATAGTCCAATGGCTTGATATCTTGTGGTGTGGCGTACAACATTCAATGTTGGTGTGATAGAAATTTTTAAATCTTTTCGACGGTTCATTTTTCTCTTTTTCTTTTCTTCGTATTGTAACGAACCCCCCCCCCCCATCTTTTTTCTCTTCTACTATATATTCACTTATACTTGTATTTCTTTAGAATCTATATCTGTAAGATATATAAATATATCTAATTTACGTGACCAGTATAACTTGATCTTTCTAAAGGTTTAATATTATATAGGCCGTTTAATAAATTTATGGCGTGATCGTCTTAGTTAGGACCCTTTTTTACGTTGTGTTTGTATAGTAACTTAGTTCTTTTAGGTGTATCTTGGAAGAATGAATATTCACGAGAGCAATCGAAAGCTGTTGGTAGAGTCTTATAAGCTAAAGAACCCCGTTCACGAAGACAGAGCTCAAAAAGGTTAAGAACAATAAATTGTCCCTATTCCACTTGTATCTGGTTCACAACAGTCAATTCCTTATTAATTAATCCCTTCCCGCTTGGAAAAGGCTCACAATATTTATATCAAATACCAGTTACAAGGGCTTCGCTCTCCCACATTTTAAAAAAAATGTGGAGGAGGTACACGGCCCCACACACGCCGCGCACGGTGAGCGCCAACCATTTTAATGCGCTCCCCCCGAAGGGTACGCAAAGTTGGGAACTGGACCGTAGTCCACAGCAAAATAACTGGCGAACCAGTAAAAGAGGACTTGGCCCCTTGATAGTGCGTAAGCACAAACATCGACCGAAGTCGCGCATGTCAATGCGTGTAAACGCCATAAAGAATACGATCAAATCCAGTCACAGTGAATGTACGTCACACGGGTTAGGCAACAATAGGCACACTGACCATAAAAAGCCTTCCGTGAGCGCCACCACCTGCCAGACCGCCGTTCCTGCAGACGTGATGTAAGTGTAAGGCATCACCACCAATTGCATGGTCAGCACGGCCAATTGGCCGCAGAGCGTGTCATGAGTCTACCGCTCACCTCAAGGGAATGGGGTCCCACGTTGCGCGGCTTTCGGCCGCAGCCTTGAGAGCCTCCTCAGATTCTCCCTCCAGCTACCACCCGCATGAGGTCAACACATATGCTCCACCAACCAATACAATGGCAGATATAGCCAATAGGCAGTTATAAGATAATATTAATAATTCGCCATCAGAAAGGGTTTGTGTCACTGACGTTGAGTATATGCATTTTTCGATCATGTTTGTCTCACCCACCAACAAGTTGCCTTCAATCTCTCAAAGGTGGGAACTTTATAGAGATATATTATTAAGTTGTTATATAAAACATCATGGAGGGCAGACAGTCTGCAGCCCCGCAATGAAGGGACCCGACTTGGGCAAGGCTACTTAGGTTGTGAGTCAAACCAAGACGCAGAGAGCGCCATTGAGAATAGCGACCCGCCAAACAACCGTCGTAGAGACGCAATGCTACAGAATGCAACAAGTATCAATACGACTATCGTCGGGCTTACACCATCCCAAGGTCCCCCATACAGTCCCAGCAGACATCACCACCCGCATACCTCCATCGACCAGAACCACAAGATGCATCGAATCAGGTGCAGCACACCCGCAGATCCATCACAAGACACAATACTGCAAGTAGCAGTAAGCATCAATGCAACTATCATACGGATGACGCCCCCTCACAACACACCCACATGATCCCTATCGACTTTGGTAACAAAATTTGATAATGTTGTTAACTAAAAATACCACTAACGTATCATAGTAGTACGGTACTAAGACGTCAGTAGCCAAAACTCCACGTATCATAGCGCTATTGCACTAAGACATGAAGTTGAGTATGCTTGATGCACTTAAAAGTACTACCAAACACACTCACCCTAACCCGAAAGATAGCCGACGTATCATAACGCTATGCGCTAAGACGTCGCCCACAAACGGTAGGGGTGTGCGATGTCCACGGGCAAGTTGTATTGCTACAACAAACCCGCTTACCACCGGCACTAAGATGATATGTCTAGGACACATCGGTTAGTGAGTCCAAGTTTACCTCGGTCTCAGAGGCTGCGAAGCAACCTACACGCCACTATAATAATCCTTTTCAAGTCCCATTTCTTTCAATATAATGCTTTTACATATTTGAGACCTTCCACATATTTGCTTTATTTCATAGACCATACTACTGTATGTTTTATTCATATGGGACTTCAAATCATAACTCTGCTATCATAATGCTTATGCATCATAGAGACCTTCTATATTAATGCTTTGGTTCGTCAGACCTTACTATGTTAAGTCCCTAATATAGGACTAGTCATTGTGCAACCTTAGTACTAGCAGTCGGTCAGCCGACCACCCCATATATATGTACAACCTTGGGTATGTGTCTCCGACAACGCCCCAATATAAGGGAACATTACAAGAACACGTTCATTAACTTAGAAATTTTCCAATTATTACACGAACACCTTCATCAACTTAGAAAATTTTAATCCATTTTTTCTATTATATTACAAATGTTATTTATCTTTGTTATTGCAATATAATCGCCTTGTATTTATATGATTTGATACATTTTGAACATTTTAAGCAGGTTTTTAATAAATTTAGAGATTTTTAGAGACATTTTATGCGTTTACTAATATTATAATATTCAATATTCCAAATGGATATTTTTGAACTTTATGCTTATTATTTGTATTTTATTGTTTAAATTATAATTTCTAAGACATTTTTAAATGTCTGTATAATGAATTTAATTATTATTTATTAATAATTATTATGAGGCGTCACAATCCACCCCCAAATTTTATGTTAATGATCCACATAGTGGAGTTGTTAATATAAAATTTTAGTATTTTGAGAGCATATACACTACACTCAAATAATTGTTTGTATATCTGTTCTTTCCTCTTTTAATCTGTTACAATACGGCATATGTTATCAAAGCCCCCTGCCCCAGAGAATGGCCGCCACCAACACCCCTTCAACCACAATTATCACAATGTGATAACACCATAATTCAAGTTATTGTATATCGTGTTGTTAATAAAGTTTGCAGTCAATTGTCGATTTCTTATTTTATTAATTTATCTTTAAATCTTTGAAACATTATTTCGATAGTGTCACACTTTATGTGCATACAATCCAGTTTGATATTTGTTGACGTCAGTTCGATACCACATAGGATAAATGTGTTTGAGCCATTCGCCCTGACCCAACTCCCATATTTATTTAATAAAAATGATTACAAAATTATCTTACGATCTATATTTACAACTCTTCATTATATATTAATAACGTTCTACTATCATATAACAAATCTCTTGCTCATAACTTTAATAATTTTAGACCTTTAACTTAAACAATTATTTCCATGGGCCACCCACAAAACCCTTTTATGTTACAATATTTATTTAATTACTCTAATTTATACAAAAAGAAATTATTATTTAAAATATTTTAATAAGTGAATAGCATTGAAAATTCCTCTAATTTCGTTTGTCTCTGGATTTGCTAAGGTATATACATTGTCAAATGGTACGGCTGCTATTACATAAGGTCCTTCATATGCCAAATTGAACTTACTCATAACTTTATTATCAGCGTCTGATCTACTAGATCTTGAAATTTTTACTAAGTCACCAATATTATATTTTATTAATCTATTTCGCTTATCAAATTTTGTGTTTCTTATTCGACTTGCCTCTTTTAAATTTTTACGCACTTGTTGTCTAATTTGTTCGACATTATGTTTGTCTTTACTTTTGGAAATTACTTTATCAAAAGACATCTCATTAGACTCACCATAAAGAATCTCACAAGGCGTGAAGCCTGTACTATTGTGATAAGAATTATTATACAATTCTTCTAATTTCGGCAATATTAACGCCCAATCTTTGTGGTTAGTATGACAAAGCGTCCTAAATAATCTGCTCAACTCTTTATTTACTCGCTCTGTTGTATTTGGTCTAGGATTTCTAACTGTGGTGTATATTGGCTTTATATTTAATTCACTCATTGATTGTTTCCAGTGATTACTTACGAACTGTTTCCCATTATCTGTCATTATTGCCTTGGGCTTTATAATCTCAACAAAATGCTTTACTTTTGTTACAACAGACTTTGCTGTTGACTGTTTTAAAGGATATAACTTGATAAATTTACTGAATGAATCTTTAATGACAAATATGAAAGTGTACCCAAAGGTACCTGATACAAGCGGTCCATATAAGTCTGCCATGACTATATCGCCAATGTTTTCTGTTATTATAGATTTGCAGGGACCCACATATGTTATATTGCTTTTCTTAGATAACTGACATAAATGACAAGCCCTTAATTGGTTTTTAATATCTTTTGTTAAACCTTTCCAAAAGAATCTGTCTCTCACATATTTAATTACCTTATAGGGTCCTTGATGACCCATTTCGACATGCACTTGATTTATAATATCTTATCTCAATGCTTTAGGTAAATATATTACTTCTTGTAAATTCGTTTTGTAATATAATACATCATTTTTCAAACTATATCTTTTAAATTTATTGTTTTGTTTTATTATGGAAGTATTTAATGTCTTTAACTTTTCAATAATAGCCAACGACTCTGAATCTTGTAATTGATATACTGTTAAAGATTTTAATTTTTCTATCAACTCAATATTCGGTTCGCTCTCTGTGTAAGCAATTTCTAAACTATTATTTTTATCCTCTTGTATTAAATCGCCATCAGGAGGGTAACGTGATAGCACATCTGCAACAATATTACGTCTACCCGATATATGCTGTACTTCATAATTAAATTGTTCTATATACAAAATCCATCGGGTTACTCTACCATTGAATAACTTCATATTATTAATAAACAATAATGCTTTATGATCAGTTAGTATTATTACTTTACTGCCCCGCAAATATGTTTCAAATTTCTTTAGGCAGCTTATTACAGCATAAAACTCTTGTTCAGTAACAGACCAATTTAATTCGGGGCCTTTTAAGGCTTTACTATAATAGCCTAAAATTCTCATTTCATTATTATCATCTATCTGATATAGTACTCCGGCCATACCCACACCGGAACAATCTGTTTGTAAATAATACGGCTTATTAAAGTCTGGATGATGCAATTGTATTGTATTAATAAATTGTTGTTTTATAAAATCAAATGCCTTCTGTTCTTTACCGCTCCATTGGAACTTTCGTCCCTTTTTAAGTAATTCACAGAGCGGTATTATGCTCTCGCTGTAATTTGGTATAAACCTTCTATAAAAATTGCATAGACCTAAAAAGGCCCTTAATTGTTTAATCTTTTTAGGTGCTGGAAACTCTTGGATCGCTCGAATCTTATCGGGATCTGTCTTTATGCCTTCTGTTGAAATTATAAAACCCAGCATTTTAATTTCTTTACAAATAAATTCACATTTCTGCAAGTTACACGTTAAGCCAGCTTTGTTCAATTTACTTAAAACAATATCAATGTGCTCCAAATGTTTATCTAACGTTCCTGTTGTAATAATGGCTAGATCATCTAAATAGTTCACACAAAATTCTTGGACTTCTGGTCCTAATATTAAATTCATGGCTCTGCTAAAGCTTCCTACTGATGTTTTTAATCCTTGCAGCAAAACATTATATACATATGACTTTCCATTGAATGTGAATCAAGTATATTTTCTACCATCTTTATTTATCGGAATTTGAAAATATGCATTATTTAAGTCAATGGTAGTGATATAATTCGCTCCGTGAAATAAATTCAAAACATCTAATTGTATAGGTGGTTTCTCTGTTTCTGCAACCATTTTCTTATTTATGCTTCTGGCATCAAGCAGAACTCTAATTGAGCCGTCTTTTTTAAGAGTGAATGTCAATGGACTACTGTAAGGCGTTGATGTCCTTGTGATGATACCAGCTTGTTCCATTTCATTTAACTTTTCTTCCATTTTCGCTCTATATGCATATGGAATGGGATAGGACCTAGTAACTATAGGTTCATCATCGATCATTTCAATTTTATGCTCATAGCAATTGGCTCTTCCCAATTTGCTCGAAAACATATTCTTATGCTTTTCCAAAACCTTACTAAGTTTTGCCCTTTCAGAGACCTCCAATGTAGATCCTATTTTTATATTTATTAAGGGATCATCGGTACATTGTTTGATGCAGTTATTATGTAATACAGATTTATTATTATATTTGAAAGGTATAAAGTAGTCTTTGTTTTTCACTTTAAATTCTATTCCAACAGTAGTATTTCTCAAATCAATCAATATTTTATTTCTCTTGAGCCAGTCGAAGCCTAATATTAAAGGTCTTATTAAATTACCTACAATTAAAGTTTGTGTTTCAAAGACTACTTCATCTATCTTTATAGGCAATATGATCATCTGTTGTATTTTTGTGCTGCGCTGCCCAACAGCACCTTTTATTTGCATTGCTTTAACTGGCATTATTGATATTTTACGATTATTTTCTTTAATTTGTAAATATAAACTTTCTGAAATGCATGTTACATCGCTCCCAGTGTCGAGGAGCGCGTCTATTTCTTTGTCAAATATTGAAACTTTAATTTCAGATTTCATATTCCCTATAAATTCCCTTTGATATTTATCTTCGTCTTCCTCGAAGACGGTTTGCACGAATAACTCCGTTATGGGCAAGTCCGACCTGGCTTTTAAGGTGTTTAATATGCTATTTACATTGTCGTTATAACCAAGGCCTTCTCTGTTAAAATTTGCTTTTAAAGTAATAGGTTTTCGCAACCCTCTATTGTTTTTACCCAATGTTTGACCAGGTCGCCAACCCAGTTTTAATAACATATTTAATGCTTTGTTCCCTTTTACATTGTAAGGGGTCGAATCGGGAACTAGTTCGACCTCTACAGCTCTAAATTTGGCTCAGGGGCCGTAACATCAGGTTGGTCATTAGTGAAATGTATTTCATGTACTTCATTAACCTTCTTTTTTCCCTCTTCGGGTTTACGCCATGTTTTGTATGATTGTTGTATTTCTTTATGTTTTTGCTCCGTATTATTATTAAACTTCCTCCTTTTCTCATTATAGTAAGGTTCACGACCTTCATCTTGTTTGTCGATGTCATCTAAGTTTCTTCAGAAATCTGTCGTGTCTATTATTGTCTCAATTTTAGCTATTCTCCATAATTGCTGCACAGTTTTAGGATAATGTCTGATGACATCAGTTACTAATTGTTTTTCAGGTATCGGATATGATAATGTTTGTGCCTTCTCAACCACATAAAGAAAATAACTAACCATGGTGGGGTGTGTATTTCTATTCCATTTATTTTGCACAAGGAATCTCCTTACTTTATTTTGTTCTTCTTCACCCCAAAACACTCTCAGGAAGTCAGCTTTAAAATCATCAAAAGTTGTCCAACGCACATTATTAATGCGAGCCCAATACTTGGCTTCACCTACTAAGCACTCTTGTGCTATCGAAATTTCGAGACCATTAGATGGAACTTTCTTTAAATAATTGGTGAGATCTTCCAAAAATGATACTGGATGAGTATTTCCATTTCCAAATTTCGGCTTTTTTATTGTTACATTATGTATATTATATACAATATTTTGTCTAGGATCATTTACATGAGAGGTGCTCGCCCCGGACACCTCTCCTTGATTTATTTTAATTTGGTAATCTTTCGTTTGGTTAATAAATTTTTCCTCAAGATCCTTTATTTTAACCTCAAAGGTTTTCACTGCATTCTTAATTAATTTCTGAAGCATTTTCATCTCATCTTTAGGCTTAGCCTTAATTGAGGTTGATTTTTTCTTATTTTTAGCCATTTTTAATTTTTATTACCACTTGTTTTTTTTTTTTTTTTTTACACTTTTTGTGTCCTTCACTTACTTTAATTGAGTTTTTCCACTTATTTCACTTTATAATATATAGTATTGCAGTTTTTTTTTTTTTATACACCTGTTGTGTCCTTCACTTAGTCTAATTGAGTCTTTCCACTTATTTCACTTTTTATTATTTCGCTCCGTTATGCACACACCTCCTATATTATTACTCCATTTTAATATATAAGCCCCACCCCCAGACTCTCAACCACCCCCAGCAAACACCACTCTCCAAGACACCTCTCCATTTCACGGACAACAAATTGTAGGCATATAGCCTACCTCATAATTTTATATTACCGGCCTCCTATTTAAAATTTAACCTCCATCCTGGTCACGGCACCAAATTGTAACGAACCCCCCCCCCCCCCCCATCTTTTTTCTCTTCTACTATATATTCACTTATACTTGTATTTCTTTAGAATCTATATCTGTAAGATATATAAATATATCTAATTTACGTGACCAGTATAACTTGATCTTTCTAAAGGTTTAATATTATATAGGCCGTTTAATAAATTTATGGCGTGATCGTCTTAGTTAGGACCCTTTTTTACGTTGTGTTTGTATAGTAACTTAGTTCTTTTAGGTGTATCTTGGAAGAATGAATATTCACGAGAGCAATCGAAAGCTGTTGGTAGAGTCTTATAAGCTAAAGAACCCCGTTCACGAAGACAGAGCTCAAAAAGGTTAAGAACAATAAATTGTCCCTATTCCACTTGTATCTGGTTCACAACAGTCAATTCCTTATTAATTAATCCCTTCCCGCTTGGAAAAGGCTCACAATATTTATATCAAATACCAGTTACAAGGGCTTCGCTCTCCCACATTTTAAAAAAAATGTGGAGGAGGTACACGGCCCCACACACGCCGCGCACGGTGAGCGCCAACCATTTTAATGCGCTCCCCCCGAAGGGTACGCAAAGTTGGGAACTGGACCGTAGTCCACAGCAAAATAACTGGCGAACCAGTAAAAGAGGACTTGGCCCCTTGATAGTGCGTAAGCACAAACATCGACCGAAGTCGCGCATGTCAATGCGTGTAAACGCCATACAGAATACGATCAAATCCAGTCACAGTGAATGTACGTCACACGGGTTAGGCAACAATAGGCACACTGACCATAAAAAGCCTTCCGTGAGCGCCACCACCTGCCAGACCGCCGTTCCTGCAGACGTGATGTAAGTGTAAGGCATCACCACCAATTGCATGGTCAGCACGGCCAATTGGCCGCAGAGCGTGTCATGAGTCTACCGCTCACCTCAAGGGAATGGGGTCCCACGTTGCGCGGCTTTCGGCCGCAGCCTTGAGAGCCTCCTCAGATTCTCCCTCCAGCTACCACCCGCATGAGGTCAACACATATGCTCCACCAACCAATACAATGGCAGATATAGCCAATAGGCAGTTATAAGATAATATTAATAATTCGCCATCAGAAAGGGTTTGTGTCACTGACGTTGAGTATATGCATTTTTCGATCATGTTTGTCTCACCCACCAACAAGTTGCCTTCAATCTCTCAAAGGTGGGAACTTTATAGAGATATATTATTAAGTTGTTATATAAAACATCATGGAGGGCAGACAGTCTGCAGCCCCGCAATGAAGGGACCCGACTTGGGCAAGGCTACTTAGGTTGTGAGTCAAACCAAGACGCAGAGAGCGCCATTGAGAATAGCGACCCGCCAAACAACCGTCGTAGAGACGCAATGCTACAGAATGCAACAAGTATCAATACGACTATCGTCGGGCTTACACCATCCCAAGGTCCCCCATACAGTCCCAGCAGACATCACCACCCGCATACCTCCATCGACCAGAACCACAAGATGCATCGAATCAGGTGCAGCACACCCGCAGATCCATCACAAGACACAATACTGCAAGTAGCAGTAAGCATCAATGCAACTATCATACGGATGACGCCCCCTCACAACACACCCACATGATCCCTATCGACTTTGGTAACAAAATTTGATAATGTTGTTAACTAAAAATACCACTAACGTATCATAGTAGTACGGTACTAAGACGTCAGTAGCCAAAACTCCACGTATCATAGCGCTATTGCACTAAGACATGAAGTTGAGTATGCTTGATGCACTTAAAAGTACTACCAAACACACTCACCCTAACCCGAAAGATAGCCGACGTATCATAACGCTATGCGCTAAGACGTCGCCCACAAACGGTAGGGGTGTGCGATGTCCACGGGCAAGTTGTATTGCTACAACAAACCCGCTTACCACCGGCACTAAGATGATATGTCTAGGACACATCGGTTAGTGAGTCCAAGTTTACCTCGGTCTCAGAGGCTGCGAAGCAACCTACACGCCACTATAATAATCCTTTTCAAGTCCCATTTCTTTCAATATAATGCTTTTACATATTTGAGACCTTCCACATATTTGCTTTATTTCATAGACCATACTACTGTATGTTTTATTCATATGGGACTTCAAATCATAACTCTGCTATCATAATGCTTATGCATCATAGAGACCTTCTATATTAATGCTTTGGTTCGTCAGACCTTACTATGTTAAGTCCCTAATATAGGACTAGTCATTGTGCAACCTTAGTACTAGCAGTCGGTCAGCCGACCACCCCATATATATGTACAACCTTGGGTATGTGTCTCCGACAACGCCCCAATATAAGGGAACATTACAAGAACACGTTCATTAACTTAGAAATTTTCCAATTATTACACGAAC